CACCTGCGCGCAAGTACGCCGAGCATTCCTTATTCCCCGGTCAGTCCCTACTCACACGCGTACACCTCCCGCTACCTGTCTGCTGACAATCGCGCCTCTTTCCAGGTCCCTAGCAGCTCACTATGCCCGCCGTCCAACGACCAACCCCACTGCGCTTCTATCCAACCGCCGCCGCTGCCAGTGCTTCAGAGCAGCAACCAGGGCGCGAATCGTCCGCGCCGTCGCACACCGTCGATTGATCCCACACCGCCCGCGCCGTCGAACCACGCCGCACGCACACACAACGCACGCGCCGTCGAATCACGCCGCACGCACAAACGACAGCAGGCTGAGTCGGTGCGTGCTGCTTCTGTCCCGCGCCGTCTCACTCATTCCGCTGCCAGCCGTCCACTTAATCGACGTATCGTGCGCCGCAAACGGTCCGCGACGCACGCGCTCCAGCGATACTCATCTCGCGCGCACGCTATCACCGTCACTAGCTACTCACATGCACTCCCCGCTATCTAACCGTCGGCCATCCCGCATCTCCCGTGTTTTGCACGCCCCGCCCCGCTCGCAGCCCGACGTCCCGGCATCTAGACGACGACCCCCACCCGCGACAGCGTCCTCCCGCTACCAGTGCTTCAGACCGGGGACGCGCACGCGGGTCGTCCACGTCGTCGCAGCGAGATGACGTGAACGCCTACAGATCGCACATTGTAGTAAGTGTTTCGTTTGCATGTAGAGATCATTGCCCGCCACTTACCATCCGGCGCGGACGTAGGACGCGACGTTCTGGCCGACCGGCCCTCATCACCTACGCAGCCGCGGGCCAAACATCTACCACCGACCGCCCGCCTCGTTCAATCCGCTCAGCCGCGACGACGGTCCTCCGCGCTCCTGCACCTCATTGACACCATTAGCTCCGTTAGCTTGGCATCACCGCACGCATGCATGCATCACTCACCCCGCGTACTCGGTACGTGGTATGCTCCAGCCATCGTCTTGACCATCTGGCGACATCGACTGCTGCAGTGGCGTACACAGTGAGTGGCGTGATGCAGCACTCCTTAAAACGACGGCGGCTTACCTGACCAGTGTCCGGGCGCGCAGCACGTACGTGGCCACGCCGGGCGAGCGAGATAGCGGGCGGGGCACAGTACGAGCGACAACAGAGCGGAAGACGAGTCGCAAATCACACAGGATTCTCTGACGACGTCCACCTTTAAATCCCTCACACGCTTTCCCGGCCTGTTGCCATTCCCACGACTGCCGCCCGGACATCTCGCATCGGCTGCTGCGTCGCTCAATGGTTACTACTCGCCCAAAATCATGACGGCAGCGCCCCCGCGTACCTAGGCCCGAACGTGAGCGGTCATTCTGCTTGACGCGGACGGAGGAACGGCAGCGCGCTGACATGGCCCGGGGAGTTGACGCACGTCGCCGTAAAGAGAGATCTCGATTCTCGATCAGGAGCTCGCCCTAGGCGCCCGCGTTGGGCCACTCGCATGGCGCTGCTCGCGATCGAAAGCCCTGCGCCCTCGCCTCAAGCTCGCTTCTGTCTCGCCGCGGCTCCCACTCGCCAGGGATCGTCGGCACTTGTCGTGACGTCGGCGCAGTGGTATCCCGCATCCCCGCTGGCCGCCCTGGCTATCGTTCGCGTCCAAGCGAGCGACTTGCGCACACTCGATGACACACCAGACCCCGCCGCCCTGCACACCCTGTGGTCGGCATGGGTCCTCGCGGCCGGCGCGGCGCTCGAGTGCGCCTGCATGGACGGCATGGGCGGCGTATCCGAGCATCGCACACAACGCACAGGCCGCGGCGGTCGCAGCGGCCGTCCTCGTTCTCTGTTCGCGCTCTGTGCTGCAGTCTCACCCGCTCTCGTGTGCAAGCCCGTCACCCTGCCCGATCGCCTTCAGCCTCTCTGTCGTCTGCAAGTCGCGCGCAACAGACGGCTGACTCTAGCCAGCGTCCCTTTCCTCCAGCCTCCTGCGCACCCCCTCGACTCCAACACGCGAGTCGTCCCCTCCTCCTCGCCGTTTCCCTCGCCCGCTACGCCCGCGCGCAGTCCGCGCTATTCCGCTCTCGTGGCTGCTCGCCCGCGCTGCCAGCTGCCCACCCTGCCCGCAGGCACGTCCCTCACCTGAGTCGTCCTCACAGTCACCCTCGCCGCCCACGACCACGCGCAGCCTCCCGCGTCTTATAGACCGCATGTGCGAGCTCGTCCGCACGCCAGAAGGCATGTGTCCACGACGTCGGTATGTGCTCGCTTCTTGCCGTCCGCGCGCTCTCATGCAGATGGCTCTCGCGCCATCGCGCGAAACGGTCGGCCGCACTGCAGAATGCGGTCGGCGGATGCTAACGCGCTCGACGCGGCGCGGCGCTGGAGCCGCGTTGCTGTCTGCAGGGCACCGGTGAGTGTGCGCACAGCCAGAATGCGGGGCGATGGCTCACCGATCCGTGCGCAGGGCCCGCGGAAGACGTCGCGGTCAGTAACGTGCCATGCACCATGCAATAACCTCGGACTTGCGGCGCCCGCGCTCCACGTCCACCGGGGCAGCCGCTGTGGATGGCAAGGCTCGCAAAGACAGCGTCGACGCGGCCGCGCGCACGGACGGCACGCGCGAGCAAGGTGAGTGACGACGCGGGAGCAAGAGACGCGCAAGCAATCAGCAGCACTCACCGTGGGCAATGGTGCGTGCGCGTGCGACGGACGACGGGCTCTAGGCCACATCTTACCGGCGTCGAGGAAACGACGACCGGCAGCCAGCCAGAGCGCGCGCACCGCGAGCGCGCCGCCGGAGGAGTGAGATTCAGACGCAGGAGACGGAGGCCGCAGGGAATGGACCGTCTGCTCTCCCCACGTCTTGTGTACCCCGTCAGCCCTGTTCGTGCGTGCCGTCTTTGTCCCGCGCCATCGCACTCCGCTCCCGCCCTCTTACAGGATACACACACTGCGCGCAGGTACGCCAAGCATTCCTTATTCCCCAGTCAGTCCCTACTCACACGCGTACACCTCCCGCTCCCTGTCTACTGACAATCGCGCCTCTTTCCAGGTCCCTAGCAGCTCACTGTGCCCGCCGTCCAACAATCGCTCCCACTGCGCTCGCATCCAACCACAGGTGCCGGTGCTTCAGAGCAGTGACCAGGGCGCGAATCGTCCGCGGCGTCGGACGCCGTCGATTGACCTCACACCGCACGCGCCGTTGAACCACGCCACACGCACAACTTAATGGCAGCAGGCGGAGTTGGTGCGTGCCGCTTCTGTCCCGCTCCGTCTCACCTTTCGTGCATGCCATCCCTGGTCACTATCTACTCACGCGCGCGTTCCGATATCTAACCGTTGGTCATCCCTCATCACCCGTGTTCCGCACGCCCCACTACGCTCACAGCCTGACATCTACGCGGTTGCCCCCATCCGCGACAGCATCCTCCCGCTACCAGTGCTTCAGACCGGGGACGCGAACGCCTACAGATCGCACGTCATAGTAAGTGTTTCGTTTGCATGTAGACATCATCGCCCGTCACTTACCAGTCGGCGCGGATGTAGGACGCGATATTCCGGCAGCATCTACGCGGCTGCACACCATATATCTACTCAACTCAGCCGCAGCGATGGTCCCTTGCGCTCCCGGACCTCATCAACACCATTAACCCCGTTAGTTTGCCATCACCACACACACGCAGCACTCACCCCGCGTACTCGGTCTGTCATATGCCCCAGCCATCATCATGTACACCATCTGGCGAGATCGACCGACACGCACTGCACAGGGGAACGGTTTGCAGCACGTCTACAGTGGCGTACACAGTGAGTGGCGTGATGCAGCACTCCTAAAAACGACAGCAGCTTACCTGACTAGCGTCTAGCTTCGCCGCACAGCATTATGTGACCGGACAGCGGGCGGGCAAGACAGCAGAGGGGGCACATCGCGAACAGTGGCGTAGCGGAAGACGGGTCGCAAATCACACAGGATTCTCTGACGACGTCCGCTTTTAAATCCCTCGCACGCTTCCCCGGCCTGTTGCCATTCCCACGACTGCCGCCCGGACATCTCGCATCGGCTGCCGCGTCGCTCAATGGTTACTACTCGCCCGAAACCATGACGGCAACGCCCCTGCGTTCCCGCCCGCGTATCTAGGCCCGAACGTGAGCGGTCATTCTGCTTGACGTGGACGGACACACTCCCCGACGTACGCACCCGGCCGCAACGCCCCCACATCGTCCGTCACCCTTATCGCTACGGTGGCGACGCCTGCGTCGCACACAGCGTCCCCGCACAATCAATGCCGCACCCGCGCCCGCGCCCGTACGTGTGCGTGCGCATCTTCGTATTCACACCATTCGCGTGATTGCCCCTGCGTGATCGGTGTCTTGGCTCTTCACGTAAGTATGCGCCCGACCTCCAATCGCTCCTTATTCCCCGGTCAGTCTCTATTGACGGTCTCGCCTCGCTCATATCCCTGACAGCTCGCTATGCCCACCGCGCGACAACCTGGCATCAAGACAACTGCCCTCGACGCCGCCTACATCTAATTGTCGTCGTCGGGCGCGAATCGTCCACATCGTCGGCAGCCATCAATCGGCCTCACAGTGCCTGCCATCAAACTACACTGGACGCACACCCAATGGCGCCTTCGTGCGTGCCGCCTCTGTCCCGCGCGATCTCACTGATTCTGCTGCCGGCCGTCGTCTTACAAAACATGTCGTGCGCGGCAATCGGATCAGAGAATCCGCGATGCACGCGCTCCAATCATACTACCTGTTGTGTACGTCGGCCCCGGTCACTATCTACTCATGCGCACATCCCGCTATCTAACCGTCGGCCATCCCGCGTCACCCGTGTTCCGCACGCCCCGCCCCGCTCGCAGCCCGACGTCCCGGCATCTAGACGACGGCCCCTATTCGCGACTGCGTCTTCCCGCCGCCAGTGCTTCAGAGCGGTGACGAGGACGCGGATGGTCCGCACCGCTGCGTGGATGGCGAGATGACTCGAGCGATCGGGCGAGGCGCGGACGTCTACAGATCACACGTCGCGGTAAGCATCTACATGGAGATCGATCATCGCCGGTCACTCACCAGTTGACACGACGCTCTGACCAGCCAGCTGTCAGTTTCCACGCGACCACGGACTACTGAATCTCAACGAGCTACCACCGGTCGCCCGCCTCGCTCAATCTGCGCTGCGGCGATGGTCCCTCGCGCTCCTGGACACCAACAGTCCCGTCAGCTCGCCATCATCGCACGCGCGCACCACTCACCCCACACACTCGGTACACGGTACGCTCCAACCGTCATCTAGACCATCCAGCGAGATCAGCTGTTGCGCACTGCGAAGGGGAACGGTCCGCGGTGCACCTACAATAGTGTACACGGTGAGTGGCGTTTTGCAGGATTCCTAACCACGACAGCAACTTACCTAACCAGCGTCCAGATGCGCAGCACGATATGGCGGGGATGGGCGAGCGAGACAGTGAGCGGGATACCATGCGGACGACAGCATAGCGCAAGACGAGCCCCCGCCTTCAATACCTCGCATTCGACCCCGGCCTGCTTCCGTTCCCACGTCTGCCGACCGGATATCTCACCCAGGCACTGCCCTTGTGTCGCATCTGCCGCCGCGTCGCTATGCTCCTACTCGCCCGACGGCAACGCTCCCTGCATCCTTGCCTGTGTGCCTGGGCCTAGACACGAGCGGCCATTCTGCCTGACGTAGACGCATGCACTCCCCAACGTATGCTCCCTCTAGATCTGCCGGCCGCAACACCCGCATATCGTCCGGCGCCCTTATCAGTAAGTACGGCGACATCCGCATCGCACGTAGCGTCCCCGCGCCCGCGCGTGCGCATCTTCATATTTGCGCCATTTGCATGTCTGTCGCTGTCGCTCACGCTGCCCTGCACTCCCTGATCGGTGTCTGGGCTCTCCATGGATGCATCCGACACGCCGTCCCCTTTGCGACACACGCTGGCCTGCCATCGTCTCGGCATGTCCCTCGCGAGCTCCCCACGTGCTCTAGCGAGCTGGCCACTGCTACGGCTTGCACCTCCGCTGGATTCTGAGGGCAAGGAATGTGCATCGTGTCGGGTGCCAGAGCAACGCGCAGGGTGCTCCGGCGCGAAGCTCCAGTGCTAGCGCTGTGTCCCCGGTCAGACACCATCAGCCGGGAAATAAGGCAACAGGCGGAATATGGCAATGGCGACAAGAACAGCGCCGAGCGGCATGCACCACGCGCGCGCAGCCGACAATCTGGCATCTAGACAACTGCCCCCACATCCGGAGCGGCGACGAGAGCGCATTGTCGGCAGCTGTCGATTTACCCCACGACGCCTGCGCAGTCAAACTACGTCGGTCGCACATCCTAGCGGCGGGGGATCTGGTCTGTGCATGCCGCCGCTGGTCATCCCGCCGCGATGATGCGGACGATGCGCGCTCTGGTCGCCGCAATAGGAGTGGGCGGGAGGATGCAGCCGCGGTCCTCTCTCTTGCATGCGCTCAATGTTCGGCCACCAACTCCCTGCGCACATTCAAGCATCGGTAGTCATGACCACATCGTGTTGTCGTCCCTCGTGTGTTCCATCGCTCCCCTCGGTCCCCCACTGCTCAGCCGCTCTCACGCTGCCCTCCCGGATCGTCCGCCGTGCAGCACACTCTGGTGCCAGGCAATTTGCAAGATATGTGGCCAAAGCCCCACGGCGGACTCGTAGATCAAGGGCACACCGCTCGGCCGTCGCATGCCGCACGCCGCATGTCCCTGCGTAGGGCCCGCGCGCAAAAAGCCACTAGACGCGCGGCGTGCGGAGACAGTCTATGTCTCCCTAGCTACATCGCCAATTAATCGAGGGCTTGGCCCAGCCACTTGCGTTGTCAGCGCGCGGGGATCTGAGCGGCCTGCATGTTCGCAGCCGCAGCGCCGTGCAGCCGCAGCCAGCCAAGACGAGAAGCTCGCCAGTCGCGGACACCCCCATGCAGAATGCGCTGCAGAACACGCTATGTATGGTAAGCTTCACCTCACGTACTCTGTACCCGACGCCTGACACTTCCCGCCGCGGCGTTGGTAGTGTCGTGCGTGTTTGTTCATTTGATATGTTGCGCGCATGCACCCTCTCATTATTTCTACTGGCGACTGTCTCAGGACATGCCTGG